ATTTCTTGCTACATTTCTGTATTTGTAGTTCAATCATTTCGCCGATGCTATCATACTGATGACGTAATTTCTTTCTTGTGTTAACATTCGACTGGACTAACTATTACACAACATTTAATTAATAATTAACGATTCTTTCAAAAACTCACTACGAGTGCTGGAATTTGTTTCGAACTTCACACGCAACACCCTCTGAAGGCGCCCATACCTCTCTGCTTGATACAAAATGACTCATCGTTTGTCAATAATGAAGTCATCCTCTTGGTCACCATGTTTGAGACACACACCTTAAATGCTAGCTCTGTGAATGACGCCCTCTAATTAAGCTAAGAGGTGGTCAAGAGGGGTTTGAGTTGGGTTTAGAGGCTTAGCAGTCTTTAAGGTAAAGGGATTGACCAGGTCATTGGCCTAAGCTTACTTTTTTGTGGCCTTTCTAAAAAATTATCCCTTTATAATTTTCGTTTTTTTTTTTCTTCTATCGGATATATATACACCACCAAAGATGGAGTCATTATGCTTTCTTGATTTCCCCCAAAATTCGTGTCTTAGAATGTTGCCATAAATATGCAAAAAATTATTTAGAGCTGGGCCCCCTAACACAAAGCTTTGCAATTGATCGTACGATTAGTTTTTGGATTGATTACACATAGTGATCAAAGTTCTCAATCGCAGAATTTAATCAAACGATTTATTGCTAAGTATGTGTTGCGCGGCCCTGATCATCTGATTGATTGATTGATTGATTGATTTATATTCGTCAAGCTTTCAACATACATCAACGAATAACCCCGCCCCCCCCCCCCCCTCACCAACCCCATGAACGGAGGGATACCATGCGTGTTCCCAAACTCTCCGGCTCGTAACAAAATAAAAAGGTCTACCCGTATTGTCTTTACACATCGGACTTTTGCTGGAAGGAAGGGGGGTCGCAGGGAACACGCATATGCGTACCTTAAATAACACTGAGTGGGGGGCCGGGAGAATAACAGATCAAAATCAAGCCAACTTGAACAGGATAACCCACGAAATATCGAGAGCATTTTTCCAGTCAATTAATCAATCAATCAATCAATCTATTCATGATATCAACACTAAGAACACTTTAGGCAACAAGCCAGGTTTTGTAGTGTAATGGTTAGCACCCAGGACTCTGAATCCTGTAATCCGAGTTCGAGTCTCGGCAAGACCTTACCTTTACTTTTGTCTAATGACCGCGTTTTTCTTTATCGTTAATACATTTCAATATTTTACTTCCATAATATTCTGAATAAATATCTTACATTATCATATGCAGAGATTGTTTTTAATTGTATAGGTTTATGGTTGAGGGTTAGGCGTTTGGTGTAAGGGTTAGGTGGTGACAGTGGCGTACGCAGGATTTTTTTTTAAGGGGGTGTTTTAAAATTTGATGGCATCATTAATGTGATTAAGCTTTTACAGAATTTGTGCATGTACGCACATCTGTATGATATTATTTTTATTAATACATCCTTTTCATTTTCATGAACACATTGATGATTTTACTTGTTCAAATATTTGTTACCTCTGATCATAATATGATAAGTACTTGTAGTGAGTACTTGTCAAGCAATTACATTGTCAAAGAACCTGTCCATAAATTCATGGGAACGTTTGGTTTTGTATTAATACTTAGTTGTATAATTTAAGGGTAGAGTTTCATCATATGACCATAAACTTACTCAATCTTTCAGTTTAAGACCATTTTGAAGCAAAAGCACTTCACAAGTATAGGCCTATGTGCACATGGGACTACACAATATGAAAACAAATTTGGTATACAAGTGTTAAAGCTATCTCAATATACATCTGAAGGGCTTCATAAGAGTTATACTTTCCTTTGATAATTATGGTGACAATCTTCTTCATAAGGAAACGAAAAGAGAGAAACCCACTATGTGTTCACCTCTATGTAAAAGCATATGGTTATCTCAGAACATTCTTTAAAATCGATGTTCAATACAAACTGAAAGTAATTTGATTTCGATTGTTTGCGAATAATAATACAAATATTGTGTCTATTCTGCCTCCTCTCACATAGATGGAACAAAATTGCCTTATAAATCCCAGATTTAAAAAAAAAGGCCTTATATTTTAAGATTAATACAATCAAACTTCAAAGAAACTCACTTCTTCTTGTATGTGGGCTTCTGTCTGACTCACTGTACTCCCCTGTTTCGGTCACGTGAGACGACGAGTTTGCCTCTTTAATATAAAATTTAAATATGACATTGAATTATTTAAGTGGTTTGTATTCACTTCTATTAATGTTACTATAAATAGCGAAGAAAAAACGAATTATAACCTGTAAAAATATTCCCCACTTTTGTGATACCATCTTCATGACATCTCCTTTGACAATAGATTAAAAAAAGTTTTCTATGTATTGAAATAATCAAGGTAATTTTTTTTTAAATACGTACATGTAATAACGTCTGCTCGCCCCCTTAAATAAATAAAGATATCTACCATTACTTTTACTCTTTCATATCTTTTAAAGTTTTGATATGAAATAGCACCGTACAAATATCGAATTGATGTCATGTTTCTTGTTTTATTTTTTTCTTCGTTAAATGTAATATCAATAACGTTCTTTTTCACGCAATATATATCACAAAGAATTTGCCTGCATCCAAAAGAAGAAAGATTTATTTTTAATACGATTAATGCGACTCTTTATCAAGTAGTGTGCATGATCTTTAACATATGTAAACAGCTCTTATTATATTTCTTATCGCATTAAGATTCTGCTTCCCATCAATCTCTACCAATTCGTCTCATGTTGATAAAACCATCCGCTTGTAATGCACTTTATATACCAGTGTCAAGATTCAGTGGTTATTTTGTTAACGAGGGAGCGCTTTCTATCCCAATACCTCAAGGCTTACCCGACTACTCTCCCCAAATCTTCCCAGAGTCTCCATATTTCCCCCATCTTCTCATCCCGACTTTGCATGTCTTGTCCTCTTATGTCTTGTCATGATGACCCATAATTCCCCTGACATCCCCCGTGTCACAGGGAATGACGTCACAATGACGTGATTGAAGGAGAGAGGGGGGAGAGTGACGAACCAGAACAGGTTCGTTGGGTGCTGTCCCGGCCCACCACTTAACGGAATTGAAGTATGACATGGCAGGTAAATAATCGTTCACAAGTCGTATCGATTGGGTCTTGAAGCCTGTGGCAGCGGCTTAGGGGTTAGTCGGCGCTCAGCGCCCCCGATCAGGGGCGGAGCCAGAATTTTGAACAGTGACAGGAGGGGGTTCAATTCATAAATTTGTTCTAAATGTGCATGTCGAAATTAAGAAAGGGGGCACAATATTTTGGGGTATAGAGGGGGAGAGGGGGCAACAGGACCGGACTGTTGTCCACCAACTCCCAATCTGCCAAGGGTCCGGATGTAGCTTTCGACGCACACATCCCTCGGCAACCGCGCAAATGACTGTGTGAACTAATCTATGTTGACTATTTCCATAAGCTATGAAATGTAGTATATACATTGTAATTATAATAATAGGTACATTTATATACAGCAGCTTTTAAATTAATTTACTCTACTGCGCTTGACACAAAGTATCAAATTGTTACCCCGGCTGTAGCTGAGCTGCCATAATAAGACGCTAATTCATTTAAGGAATTTCTTCCTACCGGATACCTATTTAACTTCACCTGGGTGGAGAGTGGTAAATGTAGATTTATTTCCTGTTACAGGACATCCGCGGCGAGACTCGAACCATGAACCATTGTGATCCACAGTCCGGGGACGTATCCATTAGACCACGACGCGTCTACATAATATATCACGACCATGTAGACCGAAAATGCATGCAGACTATCATCTATTTCGCTCGTTCATACAGGGTTGTTGCATGCATATATGCTATTCCAATATCACTTAAACTTGTTACAGAGATGTGATCTTAAAATGTATTCTTTCATGTAGTACTAGGAAAAGATATCAATATTTGATTTGAGAAGCTTCATTCCAAATTTTTTTTAAAGCTCTACATTTCGATTTTCCTGGAACCCGAAGCGGTGGCATGCCAATATTGATGTATTCAAGAATAAAAAAAAAGGTTAACGAATACCTTTTTTCCATAACCCATTCCTCTATCAACGAAGGAAGAGAAGAAAATAAATCATCCCTAAAAAATAAAGTCGCTTGACAAAAAGGATGGTCCCTTACAATACGGATGTACATTCATAATGTGTATGAGGTCCATAGATAGTGGCTTGATAAATGTACATGTTTACTAAATATAGCAAGGCAGAGATCTGGAACTAAAATATATAAGACACAAACCTGTATGATATTGAGGTTTCCGACAATATTGGGGGAAATAACACTTCATTCTTTTTTACAACATCAACATTGAGAGTTGTGTCGGTACCAATATCGACTTTTACTTTTGCCCCAAAATAGCGATTTATCGCTAATGTTTGTTCAGTGCCAACGGGGTGAACATTCACACAAGTTCAATGTGGCCCTAGGCATATATCAATTGACAAGGCGAGATTTAGTAATATTACCTTAATTGCATTTCTTCGATGACCTTTACATCGTTGCCCCCTATGGCTATGCGCCCCCTATAGACTGTGTTAAGACAATAGGGGAAAATTGCTATTCAGTTCTGATGATAACGGAGAGTCATTTACTGGTTCAGACGACCTATCAAACAGTTCCGAAAGACAATTTTTTCCTCGGGGTTTATAACTTACCTGTTGAAAAATTCTGAACTTTGACTATGAGTTTATAATTGCTTCATGTGAACTTTATAGTAACATTGCCTTAACATGCATTTGTCCTATGAAATGAAATCCGTACTCCTACAACATACGGTTGCACTTCGTGGCTATGCGCCCCTGTCGACTGTGCTAAAACACTAGTCACAAATCGCCAATTTTGGTGGTAGTGCAGAGTCGTTATTGGTTCTGACTACCTATAAACATTTTTCCAAAAGGTGATTTTGGGGTGACTTACCTGTTGAAAAATTCTGCATTTTGACTATGAGTTTGTAGTCGCTTAATGTGAACTGAGCCATTTCGATATTGTTTACGCCCTCTAATGAATCGTCTCCATACTGCCATACAAAGTTGACATCTGCTGTTGTGTAACCATCTGGAGAAGGAAAAATATCGATCAAGAGAATGAGAATGAAATTCGAGAAAATCCTCATAGCAACAGAACATAAACTCGTAATCTGGTCATGCTAAATGTGATATATATGAATATATAGGGGTCTTGAACCTGTCTTTGAACTGGTTTTTTTGAACGTATTTGCGATATTGTTGATATTTTATTAAGTCTAGTTATTGGATTCGATGTTAAAATTCATTTGTGGCACCCGCAGTTGCAAACGTCGTTTTAAACTGGTACCTGCTATAAACAATATAATGTAATAGTCGTGAATAAAAGAATCGTTGTATTCAATTAGGCATAGGTAAGTCCTTCAAACAGTAACAGTTAATAAGTTCAAAACAATCACTATATTTATAGAAGTCATCGTTTATCATAAATCATGCAAACGGCTTGTTACAGTGAATCGGATATTTGACATTTGTTACAGTGAATCGGATATTTGACATAACTTATTTATGAACCATCGCTTCAGGCTTGATTATTGCATGCTGCAAGTTCTTAAAATGGGTGAGGAAGCAGAGCGAGAGAAAGAGAGAGAGAAATAGAGGGAGAAAGAGAGACGGGGAGAATGCAAAGACAGAATATGAGTACAAACATGAGAACAAACATGACTGGCAATTGTGGGTCCGAAAACTTGCAAGCCGAGCTAGTAGCAATCCACTCGATGTCTAATACCTCGAGTCCACGCCATGTTTACCGAGCCAACACGGATCATACTCTATTCTGGCGACAGAGTCGTGATCGCAGAAGGCTTGATTAGTCCCTTGTTCACGTACGCAAAGCACCAAGTCCACTTGAGGCTTAGACCAGACTATATTGCTACCCCCGAGTCTGTCTTCGCCCGCCATTGCTGGTTTGAAGCACTGTAAACTTCGCCGTGTTTTCTTTTGGACGGCGCGTAATACTAATGATATTTTGGTTGCTATAGCTCGCAAGCCCCTGCCTGCGCTTGCCTGGGCAAATTTGCAGAGTGGGAGGCAAGGTGCTGAAAGTGAATTTGACCCGAGCCAAAGAGGAAAGGAACAAGCAGTGGCGGTAGCGAGCTGATCAATTTCGAAAGTATCCGTGACTCTGAGCTCGATGCTGATACTGGTTGAAATCCCTCCAATAACATTATATTTTTGCTCTGGATTTTCATTTCGCTTAACGCTGTGATTGGCAATTAAATGTACATCAACATTCAACCCTTGCATCGCTCACGTAGAAAATGAGACTATGAAAATATTAAACTTAAATAATTCACTGTTTGAAAGTACCGTCAACATGGTCATATCACTTTCACTAGGGCATGTACAAAGTGTGAACATCGTGTATATTGTGGAAATCTGACTTGAGAATGCACTTTAAAACTAGAGATTAGTGCCAAGACATAACGGCAGAACTACGCTGTAGCCATACTTGGAATTGGTATACAGACCCAAAGATCCAAAAGCAAAAAAAAATTTAAAAAAATGACATAAATTGATGCGTAAAAGACAGAAAACATATATATTCGGGCCCTTCGCCACTCATCATTAATCATGTTATAGGTAGAGTGATCAATAATTACAGTGTCCTGTATTTAGCAGATGTTATATCCCAATTGCTTTAGTTTAAACAGGGTATGTGAGTTAATGGTTTAAAGAGGTGTAGCGTGACGAGACTACGTGTCAGTACCACTACGGACGACGCGACCGCAGTATTTACGTGCGTGCAACATACGCGAAACCGAAGCGTGAGGAGAACTTCGGTCTGTTTCGAGAACGCTAGCGCTCGCCGACCGCTAATCAAGTCCTTTCGTTTACGCGCAGTTTTCCAAAAGAAGTCGTAGATGGCGTTAACCAGTATTTTCCATGCTACACCCCCTTTAACTCACGTAGATTGATCTTTGTGAATAATCATCTTATTTCTAATTTGCAATGAATGATTTTTCGGCACCAGCTGTTTCTGGAGGGAATAGGTGAACATGAAGCAAGAAATCACTATGAACCCGGGTCTCTCCTCCAAGTTTCACCGATTGGAATATGCAGGTGAACCACTACAGCAGGTTCACCCTACTCTCTACAAAAGGAAAACGTACAGTCAGTTCTTAACGTGCATAAATGGAAACTCCACTTCACATGGAACCGTTATTCAATATCCTATCTGAGGGACGGTTTATTTTCCACTGTGGCATATCATTCGTCAATGGATCAGGGGAGAGAGGCATTAGCAAAGAATGAATCCAGTCTAGCCTTGAGTCGAACGTAGGCTGATATGATCTTTGATACGACAGTCAGACCTTGCAAAAGCCAACTCGTCTCCTCAACATGTTCACATCTTACTAAGATCTTATCTACATCTGTAGTAGATCAAAACTGAACTTCTTTTAGCAAATCAATCATGGTGCGACGACATGTTAAAGGGGGTGTATCATGGCAATAATGGCTAACGCCATCTACGACTTTTTTTTGACAACTGTACATAAACGAATAGACTTGGCTAACGGTCAGCGCGCGCAAGGGATCGCGAGACAGGCCGAAGTTATCCCCACGCTACGGTTTCACATAATGTTACAACACCGGAATACTGTGGTCGCATCGTCCGTAGTCTTATTATACCCGATTAGCCCCGAGTCAGGCCACGGGAAAGACACGTAGTCTCGTCATGCTACACCCTCTTTAACAAAGAATGAATCCAGTCTAGCCTTGATTCGAACATAGTCTGATATGATCTTTGCTACGACAGGCAGACCTTGCAAAAATCAACTCGTCTCCTCAACGTGTTCACATCTTACTCAGATCTTATCTAGATCGAAACTGAACTTCTTTTAGCAAATGAATCATAGTGCGATGAAAGATTAAGTTAACACCTAAGCACAATGATACGAACATCCGAGACCCATATATGGCTATGCAAAGCCAATTATTTTTTAACCGCCCCCCCCCCGTACGGCTATATCTGAACACGCGGATAAATTAGCCCAGAGAAAAATACCACCATTCAACTCGCAAACCCATGATTTTATTTATTTATTTATTTATTTCTAATCTTTTGACAGGGTAGCCCATTCACCAACAGGTAGTGGTCTTACATGGGGCCCTGAATGAACATATTTACATTGTTTATAACATTTATACAGAACAGTTACAAAAATAATACTCGTTTGCAAAATAAACATATATCATTAACGTAGTAAACAGTAATGTCAATAGGAAAATATTGATTAAGTCGCAATTATGTGAATAAGCCATGTAAATATTACAGAACATGCACGTAGTGTATGTATGGCTGAGCCGTTCACAAATTACAACTTTGTTTAAACAATCTCTTAAATGAATTGACAGAGGAAGCCGTTCTCAATGAATTATCTAGCTTATTCCATTCAAATATGGAAGAAACAATTGGGCTACACTTATAACAATCAGTGTGAAATCTAGGCACACGTAAACATCCACTGTCTATTTGCCTTGTATGATGCCCATGTACATCATTAGGATTGATTAAGCCTACCTGAAGGTAAGAAGGTGCTAAGTTATGAACGCATTTTATATATCATCATAACGCGACTTAATGATTCCGGGTTATAGCGATGAACACATGCTTAATAACTATCTGGTGTGTAAATGTTCTAATGAATATTTGTCGTAAAAGTAAAGTGGTACGGGGATAGATATCTGGGTTAATCGCCCTAGCTATTCTTTTGCTCGAGTCGATAAGACATGTCTGCCAGAGGCACATCTCAGAGACTCTCACAACCGATGAAATTCGTCGTGATTAAGGGAGGGAAAGGGTGTCAACCTAACTCCTTCTGTAATTGACTCCCATTATTGCATTACATCCCGATTTATTCACTGACACCTTTTCGAGCATTATTAGATGCCTTACTTGCAGCTCATCACCATAATGAATGAGGTTAGCAATGAAGGTGTCGTGAATCGATGAGCGATGACTTCCGAAATATAAGCAGTACGGATTACTATTATCAAGGCGTCCATGAGAATCCAGAATGTCATATGTATCAAGTTTCTTCATGGTTAGGTTGAGTATCAAAATGGGCACCACAAACCATAAGCGCTGCTACCGTTGTAGCAGAAAGGCAACATATAATAATAATAATAATAATAATATTTAATTTTTATATAGCGCTTAATATAAATGTCTCTAAGCGCTTTACTGACACCTTTTCGAGCATCATTAGATGCCTTACTTGCAGCTCATCACCATAATGAATGAGGTTAGCAGTGAAGGTGTCGTGAATCGATGAGCGATGACTTCCGAAATATAAGTAGGACGGATTACTATTATCAAGGCGTCCATGAGAATCCAGAATGTCATATGTGTCAAGTTTCTTCATGGTTAGGTTGAGTATCAAAATGGGCACCACAAACCATAAGCGCTGCTACCGTTGTAGCAGAAAGGCAACATATAATAATAATAATAATAATAATAATAATATTTAATTTTTATATAGCGCTTAATATAAATGTCTCTAAGCGCTTTACAAATATATTCATAGTCCCATGGATTTGAAATTTATGGTAGGGACAAACAACAGGAGTAAAGGGGTAGGAGCTAGGAGCTCGGTAAGAAATTGGCAACGTATTAATGTTAGTTCGTTATACATAGATTTGTCGTATCTTTGCCTGCAGCGTTATACTTGCATCATGCTCTAAATGTCGAACCGATGAATCAGACAATTTCTAGGGCTATTAGAAACCGATGCTCAGATACCAGTTCAACACCATGGTGAGTGGCAAATGTAGATCAATGCCTTTGCCAAGGGACATCAGGTACGCGGGCGGGACTCGAACCGCGAATCATCTTATCCACAGTCTGGAGACGTTTCCACTATAGACCACAACACCACTACATGGTGGTTATCGAGCCTTGAGCGGATGGTGTAATAGGGAGTCAGGTGTTAAATCCGTGTAGTGTGAACATTCCCATTCAATAAATTTCTGCTATGTTTTGGCAGGAGCAGACTTGTTGACAACATGGTAGCTGTATTTGATTTGGAATGCTTGGAAGCTCGAGTACTATGTGCGGTATGTCTCGACGACCTATAGAGAGCTTCCCATACAGCACCGTTCATCACCCGTTAGCTTTGAGGTGGTTGGTCGGAATAATGCAATTCACTAATTACACAAAATCAGTTTCCAAATGGCGAAATCTAAATAGAACCTATATTTCCTTGATGACAGTTTTTGTTTGACATTTGAAAGCTTTCGCTGAGACCTTTTATGACTGAGAAGGATGCCTCGGTAGATATCACATCAAAAGAAACAGTATTGAAGGGACTTCTCGAAAACAAAGCGAACATTAAAAATGTTAAAGGAAAAGAACTGCGTCGATGATGGCAAGAAATTAAATGTTATCGCTGAGTCTTTTCTAAATATTTTCTTCCTTTACCATAGTAGTTTACTTATAATTTTTAAAGGATGACGAGAATTCGAGAATTGTCGTTTTACCATGACCGTTCCTTTTGGGTCATGTTGTATAAATGGCTAAACAAGTCTCGGGAAACTCAGACGAAAGTAACTATCAAGTTAATCTAGCGTGTCTAGGGTCTAACGAACTTGGATATGAGAAAAGTGCGTTCACTTACAACTTTCAATTTCGAGGGAACAGTTCTGTTCGTCCATAGGGTAATGCACTAAATCCATGTAGCACGAAGCAACGCTTGTAATCCTAAATTGAAATTGAAAGAAAACATTTTTTAATGGAACATTATAAAAGATTAATTGGAACATTGGAAAGAAATCAATACAATCAATAATATGAAGGGGGAAAAAAATCTTAAATGCGTCGTGTTTTATAACAAGGTGACCCAACTCCCCGCACCACTTCTCGTTCCGAAGGGCCGTACAAAAACAAATCAATACAACTTGTAGTTGCATGGTATTCGGTACGAGGGGAACGGCAGACTACACCCCCCCCCCCCCCGTCTCCCCTCTAATCTACCCACTGTCTTGGGATTATTCAACCCTCATTTTCATCAATTACTAAATGCACCACTTGGGAAACAAAATTCTGCTCTACGTTTTGGCGATGTAACATGATCACTCCGTTTCTCGATCTCCCATACGCCATATGCTTGTTTTATTGCACAGAATGATGAATGGAGGAATGAATATTTTATCGATCGTATTATTGGAAAAGCGCATAAGACATGACTTTTTCCGCTACCATAATGTTACTTGTACAAACATTGTTGAATGTGATATTGGTAGTTGTCAGAACCCCAGCATGATGCTCATAACCAGATAACAGAGTTAGAATTGCGTTGAAAGAAGGAAATCATACATCGTGACATTTGACATTAAGCTTGTCGCATATTTCTTGTGTAAATGTGTACAGTTTATGAAATAAAGGCATTTCTATTTATAAGGTATTTGTTTTATTATGAAAATATGCATACACAACATATATTAAAAGCATAATGGCATTTGGTGATTTAAAAATCTGCTTTTTATCATATTTGAAATAAATAACAAATCAAATGAATACCCCAGCAACAAAAAAAAAGTAATTTTTTCTTGTTTCTATCATATCTACCTATCATATTTTCATTGAAACTCATCATTTCAAGTTCCAATTATTATATCTTATATACATGATCAATAAGTTATCATGAATTCTCATAAAGTCTCATGAAAACGTGAGAAGTGCCTTAAATCAAACAAATTGCTACATGTTCGTTCGATTCAAGCAACAATGGGTGGTTATTGATATTTGTTTGCCTCTGTTCCCAGTTTCCACCTTCTTCAAAATTCCCAGCAATCACGCAAAAAAATATCGCAGTGTGAGTGAAATCGAGAACTGTGAACACATAAAACCGAATGAAATTTCGAATAGTTTCGTTTACTCAGCGTACTTTACGTAAGTAAGAGAAAACCTTCCCCCGATTTGTTTTACGGGCCGCGCAACACGATGCCATTCAGATGCGAACAAATGCAGACGATCGCCATAAACCGAATGAAATAAAATGTATTCCCGCCTTTTTCTTTCTCTCTCTCTCTCTCTCTCTCTCTTACTCATCCCGTCTTTTCTCTAGATCATTCCCTTCTCTCGCCCTTCGCGTTTGTTCACAAGGCCCCATGTATATCCCTATGGGAACGTCGGCACAATATTTGAAGAATCATTGAAAAAAGGGGGCGTTTATAGAGACTTAAGTTTCGACGAGTGATAAAGTACAGAGACACCCGTAAGGTGAGACCTTTGCCGTGAATCGCATTCGTAATTTAGACGAGGAAAAGGTCTTTCTTTCCAATCTATCTCGAAAGTCATCCTTTTCTTTAGTTTCATATCCGTTTTCTTGCTTGCAGGGGCATCGAATCGCTGAATGAACAAGCAGGGATGTTAATAGAGTCAAGATCGAAAAGATTAGGTTCAGCTAAATCGCAATGCCTGGGATTCTGGCCCTTCTTAAATTCTCAGGACAGACGGGTTAAATGACTTTTGAGGTACGGAGATTGTTTATTGCTCAGGTTTCATGCATCGTTTCCAAGTATTTATGGTGCTGACCTGTGATAAAAACGTGAATAAATATTGTTTTAAAGGCATCATTTAACATTGTTAAATCTGAGATATATTGCCTATACCTGTTATCAGTGTCTGTGATATCGTGTAATATAGAAGCCCTAAAGAAATTGCGCTTCAAAATGATCATAAAGTGCCTCAAAAAGGTTTTACCATACTCATTTTCCCCGAAAGACTGTTGTGCTATAAAAACAGTTAGGAAAACGGTTTTTGAAGTTTCGATTTCCAATTATAAATATCTTGATAATCAGACAGGCGAGCGGCTTGTAAAAATCATGGGGTTCCTAGCTGACCTAAAGGTTTATAATTATGATTGCAGCATGAGCTAAATCCAAGATTTTCTTTCAGAATCTGAGACAAAGATATTCAATCCCTTTAATATTTATGTGAAGTTAACGTGCAGCTACTTGTTCATTGGTTTTAAAATGTAAGATAAATGCACGTGGTATCAGCAAGGTTTTATTTGTTAACTTATTGGTCGTATACTTAAGCACAATTTTTCACTGAGAATGGATAGAATCGAGAACATGTTTAACTTTAACTAGTGTGTCATGCATGGATGAAGCATTAATATACCTATGTTATAGCGATCGGGGGGGGAGCGGTGTCCTCAATTCCAATGTCAACTTTCTCATTCAAGATACAAGTGTCATAGCATTAATGGGAGCCATTTGAATCCTCCAATACTCAGCATCACACGACTGTTTTCATAATTATGGATCCATTAACGAAGTAATATTTTGATACATTTATGCCCCGTCCATGAACTTACGAAACATTTCTTAATCGAGTTATGCGGGAATAGCTGTACAACCAGTATCTATGCATTCACGCTGTTCATGGTCGGAAGCTATGATTGATAGGAAATGTGAATCGTAGCGCGTTCTTCAAGGAGCGGAATACACGCACGAAGGTTGTAATGATAAGTATCAAGTAATGAGCGAATGACCTAATGACTTTCATAGGTAAGGACATCAAGATCTTTTTTTTTATAAAGACAACATGTCAGGGAAGTCAGTTCTTCATCTGCTTTTGGATTTCTTACCGGAATACAATGTTTTATAATCACATATTTTTGGGAGCTCCAAAATATAAATCTCTTGACTCTCTGGTTGTTTCACAAAGTAACAGATTGGCTTTAAGTTGGACTTAACTATGGCAGGCCACTGGTGGCTCTCATCATTATGATCTTTAGATAATATTTTTACCTTCAATAATGGATTATCAACAAATGTAAATTCTGTAGATTTGTGACCATGATGTGTACGTCCCTCGATATAATAGCCCAATGCCAGTAGATGGTGAGAACAGAGGCATAAACGGCCTGCCACAGTTAAGTCCAACTTAAAGTCGATCTTAGTCTTTGTGAAACACTCCAAAGGGTATTTATGTACAGCCTTGGACAAGGTGTTTTTTGCCCACGTTTTACCCCACTCGATCCAAGAGTATTTAATGTGTATTTGGCAACAGTGGCATACTGGGGGTAATAATGATAGGGCTCTTTAATAGGGAGAGAGAGAGAGAGAGAGAGAGAGAGAGAGCAATGTTCATTCTGATTAGGCTACACTGGGAAAGACCACATTCTTATTATTATTATACTTGTTTCAAAGGACACATGTTGTTTGTTTTGCTTTTATTTGTGTGATGTCTTTCCTTTTTTTAAGGTTCCTCGTAATAGACCATTTCGTAGTTAGCACATGGGTCAAATGCAAATAACCCCAAATATCCACAGATCTTTTACTCATGGAGAAGTCCCACTTTGTGTATTTTTAAATAATCAATGCCAAAGTCATGTATGTGCTTCATGAAAACTTTTGTTTGACCTCTTGTATCATAGAATGTACCGTAGGTTCACACATAAATAATGATTACATAACATGGGCACGTATTCTTCTCGGTGGGTTTTTACAATTTATCACAAAAGACCTTTATCTGCCCATGCGCAGATAGTATTTACGTTACCTCATGCCGTATGTGATTGTGCCGTCATGATGGAAACGAAGGAGTTTGTTCGTGACTGTGACGTCATGGACGAAAGAACGCTTGTCGTTGGGGAAGTAAGTGTCGGGTACCCAGATGCGTTCCGCTAGTATACCGCTGAGGGAGACGTTGCCAAGGCAAGGGTCATACGACAACCGTTCATCTTTCCAATGCTGCCGGAAGTACATGGTTAATGTGTAGTCCTGTAACGAGAAACAAACAGGGCAACATGAAAATGATTACATCAAACATGCATGTCATTTCAATGACGATTCACCAGCACAAAGAGGAAATATAAATAATAAAGAAACCTTTTGTCACTACAGACCCAAATACAATGAAAGCAATACCAAATTTGTGTCTTTGACCTGTAATGGACTTTTTGCCATGTGACTGCACAAACACAATTAGTGGTAAACAACAGGCTTCTTTTGGAGTATTAAATATGATGTACATATTTGAATCTAACATGTCTGAAGAAAGCATTACACTCACCTACACACCATGCACTGAAATATAGGTAATATTAAAAAGACCAGAGGTGGCGAAAGACAGGATAGCGTGTTGGGGGTGAACCATTACATTCGCTACAAAGAATTGATTTTCATGCACGGACATGATACGAGTCCTATACGCCATCAAGCACTCTGCTAGATAATGTATCCGCAAGTCCTACTATCTTTCACCGATTCCAACAAGTTATGACAATATTTATTTTAAAAAATGGAACAATCATTCGTCTTCTTTGTACAGTATATGAGGGAACATCACTAAAACACCCCAAAGTACAGCGTAATATCACGTTCAAATTACCCACAAAAGACATAAGAGAAGCCTGTAAGAAGGAACGTCACACATGACTATTTTCCAGCAACATCACTTCATCATCATCATTAGACTAAACAATCTCGACCTTTTCGTCGTCTAGATTGGTGTCTATTCATTTCTCGGAAGAAAAAACAGGACGGGGTCGTATTCATATTCAGAAGACGGGAGATCAAAATAGTGGCACCTGTCTGTGTGAGTGGAATAGATGAGACAAAGAAATGCTAAACAAAATGGACGTCTATAAATAAACGCCTACCAGACAGACATTCAGTCATTGATCATTTCCCTTGGCCAAAGATCGTGGACCAAACAATCAATGGATCAACAAATCGCCACGTCTTTACCAAGTCATTGGGGTTAATAATGTTATCATTCACGGATGACTTCTCCAAATATAGGTGTTAAACTTTCTGTATCGAATATTCGTTTTAAAATACTGAAAAGGTTAGAGACAAGTTTAAAGCAGTTGGAAGTGTTGTTTGAGACGGTGTCATCTTGTGTCGTACAGAAGCAAGTGATGAATTGATTTTGACATTGCTATCAAGGTCATCTAATTAGCCTATAATGCCTATCAAGATTTCCATAGCCAACTTGTTACTAAATATGACGGCAATATTTGTACATGACGAAAGACATCCTTCAAGCCTGTGGAAAGTCCAGTCATAGAAACCCTGATCGGATGCAAATACGGTGAGCACATTAAAAAGATCACCCTGTGTTGGACATGATGTGCATTTTCTCACCAATTTGACCTTTCACGCGACCTCCATCTTGGCGATTTTTACCTTTTAGCCCCTTGCTTAACAGGATTTTAATTCGTTTATATTTGCTTAACAACATCTGGCTATCCAGTCGACGTGTATTCCCCTTCTTTTACGATCGAATCACTAAATCGTCGTGCAACGAATTATCCATCTTTAACAAGGTTTTTGCGCTTCCTTATTAAAAAAGAGAGAGATGTTTCCAATTTAACCAGGGTCTAGGTCATCAAGGTGTGCATACCGTGGGCTTAACTCACCCTTATGCCCATTGAACCTTTAAAATCAAATCACTCTTGACGAATGTCCAATTACAACCTGGCCAAGCCTTAACGCCATGTTTCCACCCGAGATCACGGCCACTCCAATCGTTAATGAGTCCCCTGCAATTGATCATGTAAACACATCAAGGCCGTTACTGTCAAGGTGCGAAGCATCACTGATGATTCCCTAGAAGCTCATTAACGGTGTCACCTGTGTCATCCAGGTAAGAGTATCGAGGTTAATGAATTTGACGGTGTTGATCTCATCCCCTCTCCCGTATCATCGAGAAAAATTTATCATCGTGAGAACTAATTGGCTGAAACGATTCCAAGTCATAACTAGCACGCTTTCCAAAAAATCCTATTCTGTATTCTTGTATCAAATCTTGTTTACAACATTTTTAATGCGAAGTATTGTTGTTGATTATCAGGTTTAACCTTAATGTTCCGAAATCTCTTAAAATCGTAAGACCAAGTAACTTCTACTTCTACTATGTCCGGACCTCAGTGGAAACTAACAAAAGCACTATGTCTTTTGTTCAAAACGTAAATGAATTTAGCTATATAAATGTTTTCATTACCAATGTAAAGCAAAGTAAAACATGAGAGAAAGTGAAATAACATGAAAGACATAATAGACCTGAAGAGAGAAACAAATTAAAGGGGAGAGATAGACAGACAGACAGAGAGAGAGAGAGAGAGAGAGAGAGAGGGTGAATCGCAGAAAGAACGAGATGAGGGGGAAAAAGAGATTGAGTGGAAGGATTGGGAGAAAGGGGGAAGGGAGGACAAGTTCTATACAATATGGAAGCAGAATTATGAATGGGGATGTGGCAATGCCCTTACAGTCAATCTGTTTAGAATTGCAACATTGTTAGGGGGAACGGAGAAGAATGATGGAAGATGATTTCCTCTATATGACCAGAAGCCAAAGCAGCATTGATATTGTGCAATATCTGTTATTCTGGTTCCTCCGGCCTGATTAGTAATACTTTCACTGGCATCAACGTAGTTTCTTCCCAGCAACCACTTTCCTCCGTTTTACCGTTGGCTGCCGTTTAAAGGCATCGTTTAACAATGCTAAATCTGAGATGCATGGCGCTTTGTGTTATCAGTGTCTGTGATAATTATGGTGTAATATGGAAGCCCTAAAAGATTGCGCTTCGAAATGATTGTGAAGTGCCTCAAAAAAGTAAAAATATTTGTGTGACGGTTTTACCATACTCATTTTCCCCAATAAATGACTTCGATTTCCAATCATAAATATCTTGAAAATCAGACAGGCGATCTGCTTGTAAAACTCAAGGGAAAGTTTACAATGTTTATAATTATGTTTGCAGCATAAACTAAATCCAGGATTTTGTTTCAGAATCTGAAGCAATGTTACATCATTGTATTTGTTTTTCCCCATGTACATTTTATACTAACCTCTTTCCCTGGATTAAGATTTTATAGTGATACGGTAATGACTAAATAATAGTGTCATCGGCATAGTTCTGTCGGTTTAGCCACTGGGTTATTAATAGTTGGATTTCCAGTTAATGTGGTCTTGAAAACTGCTTAATTACTAGGTAGACCTTGAAGCTACCTTAGGTCATTTTTATATTTATTATTAACGATATTCGATAAAATCAGAGCGAGGGCGTAATCTTAGTGTATTAAGGTAATCCCAGAAGAGTCACCATTTCTTTTGACGGTATATCTGAACGCTTTTGGAGTTTTAAAGCGGTGCCGCTAGGTAATCTGTGTTATTACGCTGTAAATCCCAATAATGCAATCTCTATATGGAAAAGAAAGTGTAGCTTTTCAGATTGATGTGTCATTTTAAGAATATTGAGGATGGCGGTAATGACATCGCACTTTTCCGCCCCGTCACCGGAATCACCTTCATTTTATGAAGATTTCCTTGTATAATCAATTTAAAGAAAGTGATAAGAAAACTGACCTGAACAAAGGATATCATTTTGAACAAAGTGGTTCTGAAAACGACACACTCCATGAAACAACATAAATTGTCATGAAGCATGTACATGTATACGATTTCTAATAATTATTACCATAGTTAGAAAACATATTTTGTTTGTTTCGAATTTTGTTCTTTTGTTCTTTCTTTCTTTATGTTATCATTGTTATAATTATTATGTAGAGGGACTAGCTAAAGTGTAAGTTACAGCACTCTATAAAGTGTTGGCTTAACTGTTATCAATGTCGGTTAGAAAAAAAGGAGACAATTTGTGTTGGTTGGTTAAAACATTCACCAACATTGGGTAATTGTTGCCGAATTGTTGGTAAAAAGATATATCACAAGGATCACATATCACATATCACATATGACAAAGCAGAGAATGAAATATGAAAACGCGGTCTGAAGCCCACGTCTAGGCCGATTTACAACCATGCTTATGGAAAATGGTTGAAAATGATCAGATTTCCTGGGGCTATGGCTGCATGATTGGAGAGTAATCACGCAGTTAGAAGGTGAACAAACGATATTCTCGCCATGTTGCGTTGGCGAGGAATCATCCTATAGACCTGGACGAAACATAACGAGTTTTCCTTCCCGGAAAAGTAATTCCTCAAACATGCGCTTGACTCTCCAACGACCTACTTTAAATCTGGAGCACAACGCCTGAAAAAGAATCAACTCAATTTGATATATGGGCACGACGTATCGACAATTGTATCTGAGACAACTATGGCATCGTTAAAGATAAAGTTGAGTTCTGGTCATGCGATTGCATTGTGAAAGAAACGTTGTGGAATCGATCAGAAAAGGTTGATCATCTAGCATATCAGTATTGTTGTGTACTTAAAGGTTCTGGAACCATCAAAATGATATCAATTCGGCCCAGTCTTGTAAAGTTACAAGCACTGTACACAGAAAAATGTGTATGGGACTACACGAACATGTGGCATAAAAATCCGTCCCGATTGTTATGATGTTACATGCCACATTTAGAATATTAAGGCATTTGAAGTGCCATGCTTTTTAGGGAACATTTTTTTACCTGATGTTCTTCCACACTTGCATAATAACAATGATAACGCTCACAAACTATTTTCACCTCTTCACAAAACTCAACCTTCTCTTTAAGTGTATGGTTTTCATCGAGCTCAGGTGTAGTGTCGAGTATGGGTTGTACACATGTTATACCGGGAATATCGGAAGTGTTTTCCAGGTACACAGTTCTATTTGATGATAGCATCAAGATTATCTACAAATGAAGGATCGTTATTATCCAATTAAATATACTCACACATACACAAACAGAGAAGGAACTTTGAGTATTATACAGCACATGGGGTAGAAAATAATAATTGATCCTGAAATTCATGAGGATAACCAAAACTTTC